CCATTACAAGGATTAAATTCTTGAAAAATAGAAGAACAAAAAACTTTCAAGTATAAGTTTATATAAAATTATGATTTCGATCGTTTTTTAAATAATTTTTTATGGTGAAATATATGTTATTAATATTTTTTTATTTTTAAAAAATTATTTTTTATATTATCATATTAAAATGATTTGAAAACACTAAAAACATATTAATTTAAAAAAGATAAAAAAAATAAACTTTTTTAAAAATATTTAAAATAATTTGAAAACACTAAAAACATGTTAATTTAAAAAAAAATAAAAAAATAAACTTTTTTAAATTTTTTTTTAAATACAGAAATAAATAGTCATTAAAAATATATAAAAATTAAAATTAAAGGAAAAAAAATAAATATTACAAAAGCCTTCATCACATCACTATAATAATCCCTGCAACCATGAAATGCAATGAATCATCCCATCCCATTATATATTTTTACTGAAATAATTAGTTATACTCTTTAATTTGAAAAAAATTAAGACCGAGCTCCTCTATTTTCATATTTCTTATAACCTAGTCCTTTTATTATTATTTTTATGACAACTTAATTGTTCTTTAGTAAAGTATCCTTTACTTCTAGTCAAACTTTCCAACCTCAAATACCGCACAAAAAAAGAAAGAAGGAAAGCTCGGGAATTTTAAAAAATTTGATAGACAACTTTGGTTTAGGGACTAACTTACAATATTCAACACTAGAGGGGCTAACTAACAAAACCATAAATAAAACACGGGCTAAATTACAATTTAATGAAGAAAAAATCATTCCAACCTTACCTTGTATTTATTAATTTTTGGGTCCCCGGTCTTCTCTTTTCTCCCCCTGATTTCACCTTAAATTCCCGTTAAAAAATTTAGTATATTTATGATTTATGAATCGCAAAGTGGTAATATTTAGGACTCTTTGACCACAGCATATTATAGACTAGTATTAAAAATTTTTAATATAAACAATATATATAAAGACATATTTTTTTAAATAATATGAAGATAATTACTTGTTAAATTTATAAGATGATGACAATCTATAAAAAAATAAATTAAAATAAATTAAAATAAATTATAAAAATTAATTATAAAGCAACCTTAAAATTAAAGAAAAAAATTATTTAAGAAAATAAAACCCAACTCAACTCTACTTAATTTCTTAAACTCACGATTCGAGTTATAAGAATGTAATAATATCATTAAAAAATTAAAAAATATATAAAATATAATTTTTAACAAATTCAATATCAAATGATATAATTAAAAAAATTAAACTAACTTAAGTTAACTTGTCAAATATCTAACTACAATTAAGAAAGTGAAATAATTTTATGTAAAATAAATTGAATAAAATTATAAAGTTTAATTTTTAAATAACAATGATAAAATTAAAAAATAATAAAATATTAATAACTTTTTATTCAAGAGATCAAGAATAAGATAGTATATTTTAGTTAAAATATAAAGAGCATGAGCGTGGATGCTCTAATAAGCAAAATACAATAAATATTTTAAAAGTTTTGGTTAGCTCTTAGTGTTCGCGACATGAATTTTAACTGCATTACTTTGTAACGAGACTGCATGTGGGGCTCATGTTGTTCCGTAAAAAGATAAACTGAGCCTGTCAGACAGCCACATGACCATTCCAAGTCCGGCAAATGGCTTGGAAACGATCCTCTACAGCCATGATGTCCCGAGGGACATCAAGCCATAACTCACGCTATGATCAAGCGGCCATGGTTCCTCAACCAGGCTTGGATTCCTGTCTCCTTTGTGATTAAGGATACAGATGTACGATCCTATAGAACAGATCCTGTTCAAGTAAGGTCGTGCCTCCATGCTCTCATTGAACAATTTATTAACACGCTTTGGTTCTTCATTCTCTTCCGATGTGGTACAAATTAGGTCCTCTTTTATTAAAGGATGTTTTTGTCCCCAGAAAAACGCTTGTCCTCCTCCTGCGTCTAGCCCGGGTAAAGCAGAGAGTAATCTGCATTTAAATTGTGTACAGTGTATATGTATTGTTTCAGTCAAATTGATGCCCCTCCATTCATTACCACGGATCTAATCGCTGAGCGTTTTTTCTGTTTGCTGTAGTTTTTAACAAATTTCTCTATGAATCATCCATCTCGTGTTCTCTGTTGCTCACAAAACCATGTTGCTTGTTGTTCTCCAACTTGCAGATCTGAGATGGCAGCCATTAATTAATGCATGCACTCGTATGTGGCCAGCCTGAGTTTAATGGCTAATGAAAATGTCTCCTCCATTAAAAATCCATTTTATTTATGGAGATTATTTGCTGTTTTGATGTTTTAGGATTGTGAGGAATTTCTTCGTTTACCATGATTTCCTTTAATTGCTTGTTCCACGATGCAGATTGCAGAGTACTTTACTGGTGCCTTGCAGCTTCATAGATGAATCTGTGTTCTTCTGTGTCTAAAGTGATGACCATCAAGTTTCAAGAATAAAAGGCTACAATATAGAAGTTTCGATATCTATATCTTTAATTGTTTTAAATTAATAAAATTTCATTTAATAAACCAAACCAAGCAACATTTTTTTTTTCTCAACACCCCTAAGATCTAAAAAAAATAAATCTAACGCTGAAAAGAGAGTTATTGTGCTCAAAGGCACAAATTACTACTCGTTGTAATATTAAAACACGGATTATTATTTTTTGTAATAATTAAATTATAAAATTGCCCTTGCAAAATAAAGGCATTGGGCACAATATTATATTTTTAGCATGACACAATTATGTGTATCATATTGTGCAGGGCTAGATTTGTTGTTTTAATATTCTTAACACAGTAAAACTACTACTTTAGCCATGGAATAAAAAAAATACTTAAAAAAAATTACTCCCATGAGGGTTTTTTGATCATTATTCATTGCTTCTGTTGTAATTTTAGTGTTGTAATTTTAGAGGTTATTTAAAGGTGTTATTATTTAGAGGTGTTATTGCAATGATCATGTATTAAACTTGCTGTGTGCAATCTTCATGTTGTTCAAGTAGTATGCGTGGAGCCGTCTAATAACCAAAGGAGCCGTCTAATAACCAAACACCACTTTTAGAGACAATGCTTGGAAGATATTGACACCCTCTACACGGTGGTACGATGCGTTTTTTAAGATCGACAATGTTTTGTTGCCGACATCCTTTTTTTTTCCGTCTTCTTCTTTCTCTCCTCTTAAGTTTTACGCCAAACCCCACAAGATTTCATAATTATAGAATAAGCCATAAAATTATAAATTTTTTTTCAATTTCATCTATTTTATTTTGAATCTATAAATAATCTATTAAATTACAAATATTTTTCAATTTCATTCATAACATTTTTAAATATATAAATAATCTATTAAATTACAAATATTTCTCAATTTCACTACCTATGATTTTTTTAATCAATCAAATTCTTTTATTTTTTATTTTTAAAATTCAATCCTCATTCTTTTAATTGTTATTTATTTTATTAGGGATTATTTTTTATTTATTTATTTTAAATTACATTCTCCTTAGGTTTTTTTCTATCAATTTTTATCCACATTATTTTTGCTTTTTTAAAAAATATTTTTTTTACCAATCTCATCTTTCAATATTAAATTGGTTGAGAATTAAAATACCTTATAAATTGTAAGTTTTAGATATTAGACCAAGTTTAGAAAGTTTGCGAGTTTGCTTATTTGCCTTATTTCTCAACAGATGTTTTCTTCTTTTTTTTTTTAAGTTTTTTTTGCTAATTTTTTTGGTTTGATTCTATTGAATTAGCCCTTAATAATTTCTTTCTATTTCACCTCATAATTTTTAATCTATAAATAATCTATCATATTAACAATATTTTTTAATTTCACTCCCTATAATTTTTTTAATGTTTTAAATTTGGTATTTATTCTTTTAATTGCAATTTAATTTGTTTTAAATTATTTTTTTTCAAATTTCATCATAGGGTTTTTTTTGTCAAATTTTTTCTTTATTTTTTTCATTGCTTTTCTTTTTTTTACAAGTTTTTTTATTAATATTTTTCTATAATTTCATCATTTAAAATTAAATTTGTTAAATTTCTTAATTAAATTCAAGTTCAAAATTTTACAAATTATAGATTTTAGAGATTAAACCAAATTCAAAAGGTTCACTCGAGTTCGCTTTTTTTTTTTTATTTACTTTTGTTTTGTTTTTTTATTTTTTGAGTTTGATGTTTAGCCCTCTATAACCTTTTTTAATATCAACCCTTACCATTTTTAATCTATAAATAATCCATAAAATTATAAAAAAATTTAAATTTCACTCCATATATTTTTTTAATCTTTCAAATTTGATACTCATTTTTTTTTAATTATTAATTATTTTGTTTGATATTATTTTAGTTTTATTTTTCCAAATTTCAATCTCTCAAATTTTATCCTCATTTATTTATTTATTTTTGCTTTTGCAAGTTTTTTTTATTAATATTTTTAAATAATTTCATCTCAAAATTATATTAAATGACAATTAAACTTCTTAATTAAAATCAAATATAAGATTTAACAAGTTTTTAAAATTAAAACAAGTCTAAAATTAAAACAAGTCTAAAAGATTCATCTAATTTTTCTTAATAATGCTAATGTTCTTTTTTATTAAGTTTAACTTCTTTTATTTTTTATAATTTTCCTTCTATTGAGTTAGCATTGAGTTTTTTTTTTTATAGTATGAATAAACTTAACTATAGTTCTTTTTATCTTTTTTTTTTATCGTTTTTTTTCAATTTATTTTTTGTTTTTTTAATATTATTTAAATTACAACTTAGACCAATAACTCAGATTTTTTTTAGCCTGACACTTTTTTTTAAAAAAAAAAAAAAATTGCTCATCGTCAGGCGGGAAACACATCTAGTTACTTATAAGCAAAATAGAGGTAGGGCAATCATTCTGTCAACCAAATTTCAGTTCTATTTTTGGTTTTCGCAGTCACCTTCACATCTAAAAGCATATTTTCTTTTCCAAGCAAAGAAACTTTTGGACTAATATTTCAACTGAAACTTCAGAAAATTGGTCATTAGTGGATGTCAGATGAACAGACAAATCACCGTTAAATGCCTCTGAAGTTGAGGACCTAAATCATGAGATACAAGTTAATCCCAATTAAGAGCAAAATGATCTTACACTTTTGAGAGCAACAAGAGCAGTCTTTGATCATCTAAAGCTTTTATTCGCCGTATGTAAGCTTAAACCGCTCTTCCAAGTAGGCCCCACTGCGAATGGGGGGGAATCTACAAACATAATCAAAAGAAATTTATTTCCATTTTTCGATCCAAAACAATGATAATATAATTATTTTTACATGAGTAAACAGCAGTCTGTTTCCACCACTGTACGCAATTTTGGAAGGCAAAAGTCCAAGCACCTTGTAGAATTCTCGAGGCCTTTTCGAAGCTCCCTTCATTTATACATAGTTTGATTTCTATACACTACATCTTTGTAAACAAGTAATCAACCTCCATGTCAAACTAGTATTTCAAAATTCTCAGCAAGTTCCCGAATCTCATAAAAGCAGTAGAACTTCAAGTTAGTGATTAGAAACTAATGACATACCAGAGCGCTTTTATCGAAATGGCTAGCAAAAATAGAATGCAGTTTTTACTAGCTTAACCACCAAGACAGGTTAAAAAAATACGGAATGCTCCACTAGTAAAATCTATCAAGTGAAAAGGTATGGCTCCTTTCAGGGCCAACTTGACGAGTTAGATATTCTCATAATGTATACTGTTAGTTTGTTGATGAAAATTAAATACCCTATTATGGAGATAATTGTAAACACTAACTATTGATTACTAGGTAAACAGCCCTGAACTAATAAGAAAACTTTACAAGGAAAACATATTTAATTTACCTTGCAGGGCATGATGGACTGCAACAACTTTCCAAACATTCCACAACACAATCTGGGTTGGGATCTAAGAAGAATGCCAACTGCCACATTGTATCACAGAGAGTCAACAACAAAACAAAAATCCAATCACAGAAGACATGGCATATGCATAAAAAATCAATATGTTAGCACATGGCATAAAAAAGCACGTAGTTCAATTTCAACAACATTTGGAAGTAATTCTTCAGTCATTTGCATTTCTTTTTATCACCATTACCACGTTAGTAGAGTTAATATTTCTCTTAATAGCCATTATCATGTTGAACCATTTTATGACTTTCAAGACTGTTCCACCATACAGGATGCATTTTAGTTCTGAGATATTTATAAACTACAATTCAATTTATAAAGCACCCACTATTATTATTTTTAATTCCCTATATATGATGCAAAGGTTTCAATTTAAAGCTATTTTGAATTACACTGTATCGTATACTAGTTGAGCTGGCAACTTTCTTGTTATAAAATCTTCCCCCAAGCAACCATTTAACATCTAATCCATTCTATTGGATTACATAATAATTTTTCAACTTGTCATAGAAGTAATTCCAAACTGACCAGTGTGCAAAATCTGTAGGTCAGCATGTAAACAAGAAATTTGGTATCACAATATCAAAAGTCCTATAAACAGGTTCAAAAACATGAATATTTCACATGTCTAAAGAGGAGGCTTGTGACTAGAATTTAGAGTTGAAACTATTACAAATATAAGTCCACAAAAGATAACCCAAAAAAATAGAGAAGTGAATAGATGGTTACAGAGTAGCGTTCTTGTCCCACTGGCATTACTCTATGCAGTGTTGACCTGCAAGTAATGGATTTAGGATTAAAACAAAAATGGCCAAAAGGATGGACAGAATAACTTAAAAAAAAATATGACAGAACTCTCCAAAGAAGGAAAGATGTAAAGATTGAATGCCTCAAATTAGAGGAATGGTAAATTACCGGAACAAACAATTAGTCCACCTCTCCATCATGTCCCCAATGTTAACTATGAAAGCCCTGCAGATTCACATTTATGAAGTCATGTAAATTCGAAAGTGCAAGTAAAATGCTGATAAAGATGTTTGCTTAAGATTATAGGCTTTATGGTTTTCCAACAGCAATCCACAACACAAATTCATTTCAACAAAAATGGTCAGGCAAAAATTGCACTGACTGGTGTACTTAGTTGGACAGCTCCCATTTCGTTAATCATATGATCATATCAAAGTCATCATGTCTCATTTGATTTCAACAAAGAAAAAAACACGAGTTTCCATAGGATTAAATCATTATTAAGGTCAATTGTTCTGTTTGAACATACTAAAAACACTGCATCTTCTTACACCAGTTATTCTTTCAATAAAGTACAACTACTTCAAACTCACCCATTTATGTGTAGCACATCTTCCCACAGCCGTGGTTGATTAAATCTCTCCCGACATACCTATTAAAATTATAAATCAAGATAAGATGGCCAAATATTTTGCACTTGAAACTTTGCAGGGTGAGGATAGAATTCAAGGATCATGAAACACTAATAAAGTCCCTGAGATTTTAAAAAATAGCAAGTGGAGAAATATGCACATGCCTGAAGTCCTGGAACACCGTCGCTAGCTAGAAGAGTAATCATTCCATAATCTGAATGTTCAGAAGCGCCATATATTTGCTCATTAAAACACCCCAGTTCACCTGAGATAACAATTAGGTGGCCAGATTTTTATAAGAAATCAAAGGGACCAGCCAACTATCAATGCATGACCATGTTTTCCACGTCTCTATCTTCAGTTTTGCATCAAGTTGACAAATGCTGACATGTATATTACCCAAAAAAGGGGGAAACTAAGCCAGCATACCTGGATAATGTAAGAGGCGAAGGAAGCCATTCGGTGTGTCCAAGGCTCCTACTTTCTCAAAGTAATCTTCATCCAGATTTAAAGCCATAGCAATCAAATAGATTAATTTTTTCCCAGCAGACCTGAAAAAATAGAAGTAACACCATAGGGGACTTTGTATTTTGTTGCTATTTTCTACTAATGTAAAATTTCCAAACAACCACATAATGAGCATGCTTGAAGATTAAACTCCAGATAATCCACAATAAGATAGCTATGCTCAAACATACAACTGCCACTTTAAGCAGATTTTCCTGGAGATATATAATCAAGACATAAATACCAAGTTAGAGTTTCCTAACTAGAGAATAATTTTCCATGAAAGGGACAAGACTATGTCAAATTTAAAAACCTCTACTTCCACACTTTCCACAGATACAATCTCAAAATACTCAAAAATAATTACTAGGAAATCAAATTGAAAGACAGTCTATAACCAACCAAGATCATAAATACTCAGCTTTGCAAACCCATTTAAAAACATACAGTCAATGTAAGAAACTACAAGGATCATGACTTGCATAAGTATTTTTTATTGTAAGACTCTTTAAAAACATACAATCAATCTAAAAAACTACAAGGATCATGACTTACATAAGTTTTTTATGGTAAGACTCCATTGTCAATCTCCAAGATGGGAGTATTTCTGAAATTCCCAAGCCAAAAGAACAAATTAAATAATGATCAAAGTAGCAACATACATGTTATACACAAAGAGGAATATTCAGGAAAGGTATGCCATGGTTTTCAAGGTAAGATTCAAACCATAAGATAAAATGTAATGAAAAAAAAATTCTAACAACTGTGAAAGAAAAAGATATGTCTGAAAGCAAATACCTTGTGAAGGCCATTGATTAAGATTAGTTTGAGCCATATCCCCCGCCACAGGACCAACATAGAAGGTTTCCTTTGAGTCACCTATATCCAAATTTATGAATAAGACAATCAAGTTCTAATTTTTATTACATTGCCTAAACAACAATTAGCAAAAATCCGTGTTCAAATAATTGAAAAGGGTCAAATAACATTGTGCACTTAAATGACGAGCAAGAAAGAAGAGAAAAAAAAACCTTTGGATCTTGAAAGGGGGTCAAGATTCTCCGCATACAATGGAGTGTAACCTCTGTGGTGTTTGCGAGACAGCTTCATCTTCTCGTTCAAGGGGAGGGAGAAAAATTTCTTACTCTCTTCCAAAACTTTGCTAAGAAGTTGTTCTTCCACTCCATGGTTCACAAGGTAAAAGAAGCCACAGTCCACGCATGCCTGTGAGAGAGAGATTGAAATAACATGGCATGAAAGAAAACAAGAGTTGTTAGAGAGAAGAGAGTGAAATGAAGACCTGACGGATTGACTTGGCTGTAGATATGCGATCGGGCGAGGAGAGGTCTATGATTGGGAGTTTCACAGTTTCTGCCATTTCTCCGGTCTGCCTGACCAAAGCTCCCTTTTATGTCCTTTCATTTTATTTGGATGGCCAAAGTAGTTGTACGGTAAAAAGGAAGTCAGTGGTGATGACCTGTTGTATTGGGTTCTGTTCGATCAGAGTGAAAGTCCAAGCCCTTTCTAGCAATTTGTTTGAAAAAATGATTTGGTGTTATAATAGCTGTTTTTTATATAAATATATCTAAGAAATATTTTTTACATTTTTTTAAAATATAATTTTAATATCAGAACATTAAAATATAAAAAAAAACCCAGCCACATTTCCAAATACTTAGGTAAAAATAGGAAAAGAAAAAAAAGTGAGAAAAAATTAATTATGATGATATAAACTTTGTTTTTTATACTCACTATCATTAAAAAAAATATCAACAAAATAATTTTAAAAAACAAAATAATTTAGCCATATTCTTATGTGTCAAAAATAGAATTCTGCGTGCCTGATATTTTTTTTATTCACTCATTTCATGTCAGCTTATCTTATTTCTTTATTGGATTTTAAATCTCATATCAAGCACTTTAACAATAACACAAGTTACAGAAAATGAAACTCTCCAGAAAAGAAAAGACTGGTTCAAGACCTGAATTACTTCACGATACAAAAATGAGGCGAAAATCAAAAATCATATTTGATCAACATAACGGAGAACAAAAGGATGGCTTGAATTTCATATTCCATGTGCAAAAACTATAAATCAGTATACATTATGCTTGTATACCTCTCATCGAAACCAGTAAATCTTAGCAGTGCAGCCCTCCAAGAAAAAAAAAATCCTTGGCTTCATTTCACTGCTAGCTCATGCACTTCCTGCTTGTCACTGATCCTGAGAGAAGCGACCATAGAATGTCAGAGGCACCTATAGGTTACAGAAAGGAAACAATGTTCATCTTCTAGCAAATCTACTTCTTCTAACTCTCCTAGCGGTTGCTGCATGCGAACCAACTCCAACAATACTCTCTGGAATATGCTCCTCTTCTTCATCACTAGTTTCATCAGTTCTCCATCTCAGCCCATCATTCACCTCCCTTTCATCAACAATGAACTCTCTATCACTGAAATATCACGGAATCATAAGTACAAACAGAATATAAGAGCACTATATTGCCATTAAGCGAACAAAAAGCTTTTCTTAACGATTAAAATGGGTTTTTTTTGCTCTATAATGATTTCATAAGGAAGCCTTAGAAGAAAACAGAAGAGGCTAAAGGAAAAGAAATTTTGTTTTACCTCCAAGCTATGTCCTTTGGATCACCTATAGAAACCTTATTCCTAGATCTATCATTTTTATCATTAGGAAGACCATTGTAGCTGCCAGACATAGCCACTGGATTAGCAGTAATCCTATGGGAATATGGAGGAGTTGTATTTCGTAATTGCTGAGGAAACCCATTTTGTTCCCTTTCTGGAGAGATTTCATCGAATAGGCTGTGGTGCAGGTTGCTGTTCGGAAGCACTTCTAATGAAGTTCTGCTGGTCTCCTTTAATGGCGGGGTTTTCATATGACAACCTTGATGAATTCCAGGAGTTGAGATGCCATCAAATTTGAAATTTTTGTTGAAACCAACTTGATACTTTTGAGTTCTTTCTGGAGTTCTAAATAACCTTTGATGAAGAACAGATGAAGAGTCACAGTTACCCATTTCCAGGTGAGGACTCTTGATAGATGCACCAAATCTTGGTGGAGTTTTAAGAGCTTCTGGTTTAACAGTAACATTATTATTTCTCTGAGAAACCAGAGAAGAATCTGCAGGCAGGGAAATTAATAAACTGCTTGACTTTGGCTCTTGTGCCAAGGGAAGATCAGCTCTTTCTTGAATTTCAACTTCTTCACCAGAGGTGTTATGGATCTCGGGTGACAATTTTCCAGTCTTAAGCTGTTCCTGTTGAATTTTTGGAAGCAACTTAATGGATTGAACCTGTTTAAAGAAGGTATAGTTTGGTCAGTTACTTTAATCCAATTTCTTCCCGAAGATACTTATTATGAAATGCAGAGGAAGTGATGTTCCAACAAAGATGCTCTAACTTGCATCAATAGACAATGATTTTGCTCTAAGAAACCTACTGACAGTTAAGCACTGCTAGTTGGGCCAGCACTGTAGCACCCAAAAACTTGCATACTATTTGAAACTCTTGGAATTGAATTCACTTCACAGAGTTAAATCAATTCATGTGTTTGGAACCTTTTTGAGGGTATTGATTTGAAATCCATTTGGAATTGAATTTATAAAAACTGACCAAAAGCAAATCAGAAGGGGGGCCTAGTCCATAAGATTTCCCACAGGATTGATTTAATTTTTTGCTTGTTAATTAGTTAATCACTATTCTATTTTGGGAGATAAGATTAAAGAAAATCAGACTTAAAATTCATAACACCCCAGTGTTTAAGGCTCCATTTTCGGTAAAGATGCACACAAAAATTCTACAAGGTTTTAACACTCACAGCAAGTTCTCCTCTGTGGTGACTAGCTGATCTCATTCTGGATAAAACTTCTTCACTGAGAGAATTCTTAGAAATGAACTCCTGCTCCACACCCTGAAGTTTGCAATGAACATGGTATGCCTCCACATATCTGTAGCGCTGGGACAGAGAAAAATATGTCACAGAAAGTTACTGAGTAATCTAGAAGTAAAATGAAATTCAGAACTTGATTAAATAAAAATAACAGCACATAACTGTAATATAATCATTCACAACATCAAATTATTTGATGTAGCAGTCCCGGTGGAGTCTTGCTCTGGTGACAATAAAAAACACCAACCACTAGCATTCCAGGTTTTCAAAATTCACATCTTAATCAAACATTAGATGAGATATATAGGATTGTCTCAATCATTGTTTGATTAATTTTCAACCTTACCCGTGTGTTCATTTTAGTACGGGAGGTCATTGGCAATTATATAGTAGTGGCCAATAGCAAATATTTTGATTTTTGCAAAGTCTTCATTTTAAAAACTAAAAGGATATAGAGATGAATTTGTCAAATCATTTGCAAAAGTGACTCTGCTTGCTTCATATGCTGTAGAAGGAATTTTGCTTCAATTTATAGCCAAAACTTCACTGTGAGTGCATTTTAACTAAAAATGAACATGAAAAAAGGAAAATGGCAACTTTAGAACTGTACCTAATATGGAGTTTGGTGAGCCAGTGTCATTATTAGGGCTAGACAGCACAACTGATTGCAATATGATGACTTAGAAAACATGCAGTCAATGTTACATCAACCGTTCAACCAAACAAAAATATCATTGATCCCAGAATTGCTACCAACCTAACATCATAATTAAGCATGAATGAAAAGGAAAGTTTAGGGAATATGAAACCTAACCAAGTTAGTCACATAACTAAACATATTGAAAATTTCAGTTTGACATTTCTTTTCACTTATTTTCCCTTTTTAAGTGGTAAATTCTTCAAAGAGCAAAATTTTCTTCAAACCCTGAACCAAAGTTTATTAAGATTTGTGCTCGAAGTTACCTGGAGATAAAATACGACAAGAAGACTTCCAATAGTTGTTGAAGGGTCATGGAAAGCATAATCTAAGAGACACTTATGAAGATATTTCTCTTCATCCAAATTCCATGGCAATGATATCATTCGATCTACCAGATTGTTCTTGATACAAAGACAACAAATTTCATTCACCAGTATCTCCATCCAGTTTTCCCAGGTCCTGCATTCGCCTTTAAGATCATCAGAAGCATCTCGAGGTGGTCTAGCCTTGAACTTATTTTCCCTGACTTTGGTGCAGAGCATTCTCTGATGCATAAATGCTTCAGTCAAAAGCGCACACTGCACCCTAATCCGAACAGCAGTAACAGCATCATTGAGAGAAACCATTTGAGATCCATCATGCCCAGACCATCTTAAGACCATCAGTGCTGTTTCAGGATTCTTCCTTTCTAACAGCACTTGAGCAATCTTAGGATGAGTTGATGGGCCTGAAATCTCAGGAAGAAGGTTGCAAGCTTCCTGTGAAAAGTACATCAGTGAACAGCTGTCAGCCATGGAAAGCATGGAGTTCACTATATTATGAGAGGATTAGAAACAGTGTCACAGCCATTCTCAAAATGTAGCTACAGATACACTAGTATCCTCAATACAAAGCATATGTCACCACAACACATTGAATATGAAGAATTTTATGCACTTTAAGCATAGCATACAGAATGCAAGAATTCTAAGCACTTTAAGCATAGAATAAAGAATGTAATGATGGATCTAGATAGGATGTTTTCATACTCAAGAGAGTATAATTTTCTCACAAAGGATTTTTTACCCATTAGTAATAAAATCTCTGGATCTTTTACTTAAGGAGAATACGTACTAAAAACCTTGACAAAAGTAGGATTAGAAATAGAACCTCATTTAGTTACGTATAGCTTGACAAGCAGTATTATTAACTACACATTGAGTGAGAAATAGATGTATTTTAGTACTTAAATTAAAAGATTTCACTTGTATGTTACATTTCTGTATCATTAAACTTTCAGACTTCATAGTTCATATACAAATAACAAGAACTACCAACAAAAAATGTAGCTTGACAAAAATTTATACTGTTGTATGCATTGCCTTGATCGAAGGTAAACTTGGTGACAAGATTAATTGACTATTCAGCATCAGAATAAGTAGAAATCCCGTTACCTGGAGAGCTGCTTCTGTGTGATCATCCAGAAGATAGAAAGTAAGTGATTCCAATAATGAATGCCTGGTTATACCAAATGTAACTGAAAAGTCATCTACAATATGTCGCCAACTTTCATCTGGCATTGCCCAATGTCGATCAAAAAGATAATAAAGAAACTAATTCTATGTTAAGAAAACAAAGGATAACATAATGCTCAGCAAAATGAGAATATATAATCATTAGAAATATATTTAAGAAAAATAAAATAGATAAAGGATACAATTGCTTGCTTTGCAAGCACCAAATCAGAACTTCCATGTAAAAATAGTACATCAGCAGCAGATCGGAGATTTTCAAATGGATAGCATGC